TGTGAATGCTGAAGCACTAGAAATCTTACCTTAAAAAAAAAATAAAAAATAAAAAATTAAAGGGTTGGCTGTGAAGAAGAACAATGATGGTTTGACTTGGAAAGTTCTGTCCTGGTCAAGGAGCAGGTCGTGGGAGTCGGTTTTGGTGTGAACGCTACTTAACCCCGTGTGCCTTGCTTTCAGATGGCAAAGAAACCCCTCAGACAGAGCTGGGATGATTATTGCTATGACTCTGAGCCGGTCAGTACAAGTACCCACGTCTTCTGTGTCGCTGGTGCAGGGCTGCTACTCACTTGAGTTTGTCAGGTGCCCCAAGAGCAGAAAACACTGTCAAATTTAATCTGTTAATGACCCCCTCCCTTCCTCTGCCCCACAGTGGTGTCACTTGTGTGTTAGCTTGGGACAACACAGATGTGTTTGCCGCTCACCCTTTCCTGGTTCCTTCCATCTGGAAAGCTTCTTCAACACTTGGATATGATCATCTGGTTTTAGCAAACTTCAGTATTTTTTAGTTCCCTCTTGATATATGTGATGATTTATAGAAACTATGATACAGCAGCGATGTGAAAATTGAAATTCCTTTCTGGTGAAACAACAAATCAGTCTCTGGAAGCTCTATGAGATGCATCAGTTCATGATGGCTGTAGCAGCATATCAACTCATCAGTTTCCAGGGGAAAAAGAAGACAAACTCCAAAACATCCCCCCCAGCCATCTGCAAGAAAACCAAATCCTCATATTATTCCAAACGCAAAACCAATTCCTCCTCATAAAGTAGTCCTGCTGACATGATCATCCTTTCCAAATGGATCGACCCAAAAAAGGGAACAGGGAAGCTTCTCCCCCTTCCCCGATGACCGAGTCGGAGGAGGTGGCTTCAGCTTTGGGTGTCTGTGTGTCCTGTGGTGGTCTCTGTTGGTTTTGTCTTGCACAAGGAAGCATGTTTCAGACCAGCTGCATGTTGTTCCTGCGTGTTCTGCCGTGTGCTTAACGGTTGCTGAACTCTAGCTGATGCACCTGGAAGAGTCCGAGGTGGTCTGTGAAGGAGGTGGGCTCCACTCGGGCTAAATAAATGTCTTTGTTGCAAGATTTCACTGCAAAATCCTTCAGAGGGGAAGAGGGAAAGGGAGTGTATCCCCCCCAAGGCTTAAAAATGTTGAATATTGGATTGACATTCTTAATACATGAGTATCCCTAGAAGGTCCTACAACAGCAGGGAGTGAAGAGCAGATGCCTTTCTATATACCTTAATACTAAGTTACAAAGACCTGAAGGAATAGCTTAGGATAATTCACTGGACAAATTAAAACGCAGATTAATTAAATCCAACCTCAGATTTGATATCGTTCTCCTGGAGGGGCCAATGATGTCTTGTCAGCTTGGAGGTTCCCACATTCTATATCCTTATTTTCCACAGCAAAACTGTGTGCTGTTTTAATTTTTTTTTTTCTGGTATTTTATGTTGCTTGAGATCTTTTTCAGTGATATTCATGGTAAATCACATCTTTGCTTCAGCTGATGATTCCCTCTGAAGCATACCTTAGACCTTCCCCCCTAACCATGGACTCAAGCTGCTGAGATGTATGGTTTATAAAGTACCCAGATTTATTATATCCTATTTAAACTTCCCATGGAAATTCAGGGTTTGCTTCAATGTGATTGATAGTAAGCAGGAGGACTTGCTTTCATTGGGAAATTAATTACACATGCAGAATATTAATGAGGAGTTTGGTCTGTGGGCATGGACTCTGTAATGCTTTTGTGCCCTAATATTAAGAAAACTCTTTTTTTTCTTTTAATAATTATCATCTGTTAGGAAACTGTACACAGCTGAAACACTACAGAGAGCATTCACTTTTAAGCAAAATGCCTTTCCATGCGGATTAATGAGGTTGGCAGTCATGTAAATCATTAATTAAATGGCCTTTGGAGTAAATTGTGCTACTTCTGAGTTGTGGAAGGTATTTTGTTGTTGACTTCATTTTGGATGAATGATGCCACAAATTGAAATTGTCTCCTGGAATGTGAAACACCACTAAAAGTGTTATCTTAAAAACAATGAAACTACTTCTTTGCAGAATTTGTGGGTCTGTTATTGTCCTGCAGGCTCCAGGCCCCACCACAGTGAGTGTGAAAACTACTCCAGGTTCTCCTCAGCTTACGTGGAGTAGCTGAGGAAGCCAGTTGTCCAAAGCTTGAGTTTAGGAGGGACATCTTCTTACCTTGGTATTTTATGGTGTAAATAATTGCAGTGCTAGTGTCTGCTGGTCTTACTGGTGTGCAGTGTAGATGTCTCTGTTGGATTCCTTTGGATAATTACTCAAACACCTTATACAGCTTTTAAAAAGGGCAATTTTCAATTGTCTATTAATAAAAAAGTGAAAGTGTCACTCCTCTGAGTATTTCTGATGAACATGTAGGCATGTAATTTTCTCATGAAGTTTTAAACCCTGCATTCACTGGTGCTGTGCATGGTTTTAAATGGTCTTACTGCTCAACATCTCTTGGTCCATGCAGTATTAAGCTGCTGTCCCTAAGGACCAGAGAGAAAGAATTTCCCATTTTCTTGTCCAATTGAACTTGTCTAGCTTTTACTCCAGGGGATGGTGTGAGTAGTCTCCTATGCTGATATAACTAAGAGTTAGAATTCTTATTTATGTAATAAGAATTAAGAATTCTTAAATAAGAATTTCCCCCTATAATTGGTTGTAATATTGTTGTAATGATGCTCCAGAGTGGGGTGAATGTGTCACTGATATAGTTGGGTGGCTTTAAATGTGCTGTAAGGCACAAAGCTGCTACTATAGAATAATTTCATTCCATATATTCTGCATTTCTGGCTTATTCTATGCACTATAAGTGAGTGCAAGTGTCTCTTCAGGTAACAAACATCATCCTGTGACCAATAAAGTTGGTGGAAAAATATATTTAAAGCTTTCCCTCTCCTGTGCAAAGTTTAATTACCTGATATATTACATGAAAGTACATGAATTCTATTTTAAAAATGAATTCTTCCTCTTTGGCTATAGGAATTCCTAATGGACCAGGACTTAATGGGGAATAAACTGCCTGTAAATGTGTAACACATTTTATTTGGTTAACTCACATCCTTTCTGTGTCCCACTTTGACAAATTCTCACCATACTGTTACACTGGTGCAACTCACCTCTTGCCTTGGAGGTTGAGCCTAGGAAATGAGGATGTACCTCCAGAAGAGCCCAAAATGTTATTTTGGAGAAGATATATCAGCCTAGTCTTCCCTGAGGTATGGGAGATTCCAACCAAGGTGTTTGTGATGGAGATGTAGTGTCCTTTGAAAGCTCATCTCCCTGCACTGGTTAAAATGCAGTACAGGTTAAAATGTTTGGGTATACAGTAAATAATTATTGTGTTGAAATTGGCACTCTGGTGGGTTTTTCCCTAATTCCTTGTAGAAGATTCTCCTAAACTGCTTAATTAAAAAAAAAACCCAACCTAACAAAATCACACCCCCCCAAACTTTAAAAATAATATATTTTTAAATTCAACTTTTAATTGTGCA